AAAACATTAGGTCTTCACAAAATTGTATCTTCATCACATACTACAGAATATATTGCCAATGCTAAGGTTTTAGCTGATAAAATTGCACAAAAAAAACCTAGAATAGTTAGTCATCCTTCTTTCACCGAAGTACCTCGTCTTCAATTCTATTGTGCTAATGAAGCATTAGCAATCCCTTACATTAGGCAAGTACATCACATTAACACTAACCTAACCTAAGAAATTTATCAGAATATAATTTTAACATTACTTCTTAATTTCTAGTCCTATGCTTGCAGAGTCCCTTGGAGATTTACCACCTATCTTATGTGTAAGTTACTTTTTGCGATAATTATCTTTGTAATAGGCTTATTAGTTAGTTATAATACCAATATAATTAATATGTAAAATGAATTATAGCAAGTTGGAGGACATGAAAAACTTCATGATGAAGCAATCTTATTTAGCCACAAAGCTGCAAATCCTCAAGAATATCAATTACCTTTATATGCAACTAAAAATTTTGATAAATCACCCTTTAAAAATCCTACTAACGTTATACTTGAAGTTTATGATGATATGCCTCATGCCTGGCATGTAAGTAAAAATTAATACCTATCTAGCATAACATTGATAAAAATTTTAACAATTTCGTACATTATCAAATTAGATTTTTTCATTTTCTAAACCCTCTCAAATAGCACTTGAACGTTGTGGTGATTTTATAAAACGTGTTATTACTTCTATAGGAGGTGATAATGCCTCTATGATTGATCTTCTTCAAGAAGAAGTAATTCCTTATTCCCAATCATCTTCACTTGTTTCAATGAGAATTAACAAAAATGGCGAGGTCAGAGATTTAGATGAAACAGATAGGGATTGTTTGAAATGGGATAAAATTGGTATAGTACCCAAAGTTTTATAAAGTTTCAATATTAGCAATATAGTATTTAATATAAAAAAGAATGTTTAGATTTATTTATAAAAATAGAATTATATAGATTAGAAAAGAACTAATAACTATTGTTATTTATTAATTTATTAACATTTTCAAAACTACTATGATTATTACAATTTAAAATAAAAAAAGCATATTTTTATTTAATTATACATTCTTCGATGCAAATAGAAGACAATACACAAATTTTTGTTTTTTAATCAAGTAAAAAATCTATTGAAAACACAAATGTAATTTTTAAGTTCAAACATCGTCCCTACTACATAGAAATGTTCACGTAAAACGCAGGCAATTTGTACAAAATAAAACTGCCCGATTTCTAAGAATAACTACAATTTTTTTTGATTTTGTTTTAGAAATTTTTCATTTTCGTGAAGCGCTTTAACTATATAATAACAATGTATATTGAATGAAGATTCAATCCTGAATTCATTTTCAAAGAGAATACAAGTACATATTATAAATAGTGTTCTTAAATCCTCTTAATTTAATAATCAGCTATGATACTTTTGAAAAAATCGGATAAATACCAAAAAAAAAAAAAAAAAAAAAAATCAAATTGACAATATTGAATTTTTTTTATATTAAGTAGTTCGTTAATCCAATAAATTATTCAGAACCAGTCGTAAAAAAACTTCCTGGCAAAAATTTTGTATATAAACTACCTCTATTCTTTCGACTTTGATCCTGATAATAACCTTTCAGATCATCATCAATATTACAAAAATAAAAATGTACATCTTTTAAACGTCGATGTGCTTGTAATTTTTCAAGATGCTGTCTCTTCGCATTCTCTCCTGGATAAATAGCCAACAATTCGAGATTTCGAAACTTTAAGAGAGATCTGAAGAGTGCCTGAAATAAAGAAAACAATAAATAAAATAATGAGTATAATATTAAAAATGAATATAAAAATAAATTAATATATATTTACATTAGGATTAGTTTCCTGGTGATATGTGTGTAGTTCTAATATTCTAAGTTTTGGACATCGTTTCGCCAACCTATCGAATAATGAGCTATCAAATCGGTTCATATCGTATGACTCTACTACTTCCGATATACATGTATTTCGATCGTGAAATTTCAAGACTTCAAGTGTGCCACGGTTACGATTTGCCAGAGTGAAAAGAAAAGCTGACGTCATTTGCCAGTTGTACCTTCTCGAACAGAATTCTGCATTAAATGTAACAAGACTTTTGCAACCTCTAGCAATTTTCACCAATGATTCTTTCGTTAAGCTCTCGCAGTGTATCAAATGAAGTTCTTGCAATTTTGGACAATTATCTGCAATAGCGATCAGACCAACATCGGTTAAATCCTTAACATGATAGAATTGAAGACGTTTCAAGCCAGCGTTTCGGTTGTATGCTAGTGATTGAAATGCTAAATCCGTGAAACCACTACACCACCAAAGAGTGACTGATTCCAATTTATTACAATATAACGTAATTGGAAGGAAGCATTCATCAGTAAGTCCTTCACCAAGAGAAAGAACTATTTCACGGAGTTGTGTCTGCATTTGAGCCCATGATAACATGAATCGTGGGAAATTATTTCGACCAAAAATTCTTAGACTAAAATATTCCAACTGTGGAAATATTTGAGAAATTGAAAATGCCATTTCATCATTTAATTCTATCGCAAAAGTAAACTCGAAATTCTTAAGTTTTCTACATCCAGGTAATAGAATTTTCAAACCATCATAATTAACATTACGGCAAATCAAGGTTTCAAGATTTGGAAAAGAATTCACGATTATCTGAGCTAATTTAGAACTTCGGATCTCCCATCGAGTTTTCAGCATTACAACCTTAGGACAATGCTCTCCAATACGTTGAAGGATCCATGAACAACGCTCTGTGTCACCATTGCC